TACAAATAGAAAGGTATAATACAAGAAAAAGGAAAGCAGGATCTCAAGGACTAACTAATCAAGAGAGGGAAAGGAGAAGAGCTAGGAAACACGACAATGTCAAGCCATACAGTTATATGTAGAAGATAGGCAAGGCAATGATCCTGAGAATCTCCAGAAGATTTTTGAATCTAGCAGTTAATTGGAAAGATTCTCACCCTGACTAGCTATATATACTGATAACTTTTGTTGAATTTTGGCATAAACCTACATTTTCTCTAAAGAATAAAAATGAATTTTAATTGGTTTAATAAAATAATTCAGTAAAACCATCTTTGCCTGAAGAATTTCTGTTCTGTAAAGGGATTTTTTAATTATTAATTCAGTTATTTATGGCTGCAGATCATTATCATTATAAAGATTACTTACATTGTAACTGTTAAATTTCCATTCATGAAAATTTAGTCCACATTTTAAGTTAATGAATATATGACCATGAAGTTATTTATAGTTCATAGGCATTTCAAAATTTATTTCCTAGTGCGTATTGTGATTTATTATCTTTCCTTTATAATTTTTCTCTTTTCCATAATTTTATTGAGAAACAAATAGCAGTGAGACAGTTTCAAATCAAATTAGTAGGACAGTTCCAATAATTAACACATTATATACTCTGTTGCTAGTGGTTATTTGCTGTACAAGATGCAGACATGATATCCTATTTACAAACACTATTAGAACAAATCCCTCTATTCATTAAAAGAATGTAACTACATATCTATCATAACCATTTTGAATACACAAATACAAAATAGACATTCATCTGTATCCCCTTTTGTGTTTAGTTCCTTCATTTCAATATTATAGGTGTGTTAACTCAGCAAAATATTCTAAAAGAGTCCACTAGTCCATAATAGTATTGGGTCTTCCAGTGACTGGCAGGGTCAGAAATTGTAGACAAGAGTCCCCTACAGCTCAACATAACAGCATGGCTTTACTTCTTGTACTTTGTTTTTATACTTTTCTGCTGGATGGTTAAGACCAAGATAAATCAATACCTATGCAACAAGAGTTGTAGCTTTTGAATCTAATAAGGTCAGTGAAATCCCCTCAGGATTTATCCTGAGATCCTGCACCTCAGATTGTAGATCCTTTGTCAGTGTCAGCCATGTGGATGAGTCACGGCCATTGCTTGGCCAA